ATTTACTCTTGGATCATATGAGCGAGACTAATATCCCTAGGCAGTTGATTTACATGGTGGGCAGGGCAAAAACAGGTAACAATTCCTATTTGTGCAGTGATTCTTGACCTGAGAGCAAAGGCACATGGCACGTTTAAGGGCCAGGTACCGCAATGATTTGCCTAGCTTCTGAAGGATATTGGAATTTTTGGGTAGTATGTTTCAAGATGAATTTTAAATCCATTTGATACCTTTCTTTATCTTTCAAATAAGAAGTCTTGGTAGCATAGTGGCTTATGAATTGAGCTGAAAACTACAAGGTCATAAGTTTGAATCTACCAGCCGCTCCAGGGGAGAAAGATAGGGCCTTCTGCTCCCATAAAGTTTCATAGCCTTGGAAACCCTATATAGGGTTGCTATGAGTCAGAACTAACTCCACGGCACACAACCACCACCACCATCACTACCACCGTCATCCTTCAAATACTCTTTAAAGAATCTATACTACTTTTATACTGAAAACATATAGAAAACTAATGTAATGAATCAGAAAATAGGAAGACACTATTATTGATAAACAATAATAATCATAATCACCACAATCCTATAGCAGTGTTTTGGACTATGTGCTAGCCCATGTTGATTCTCAGCACTTTAACTACATTGACTCATGTAATCCTCACTCCAATATTATGAAGTAGACCTGACTGTTAACCTATTTTACAGAGGAGAAAACCAGAAGTTTAAGTATTACAGAATTCTCTTAAGGTCATACAGCTATGAAGAGGAACAGGATTTGAACTCAGGTGGTCTGGCTCTGGAGCAACTTAAAAAAATTTTTTTATAAGGTTTTTATTGTGGATTGAGTAAAAGTTTAGAGGGCAGATCATCAGTTTTACATTCAACAAATCATACACCTTGTTTCATTACAATGATTATAATCTCCTCTACCATAAGTTAACAGTATTTCTCTCTATTCACTTTAGCTTTTTTTTTTTTTAACAAAAAACACTCAGGCATATATAATAATTTACACCTCCAAAGGGCACATTCTGCAAGTCTGCCTCCTGGCCACCAGCTCTTAATCCCTCTCTTCCCATGAATCTAGAGTCCTTTGCTGCTTCCTCTCTCCAGGTCTCTGTCTCTGCCTCCGTCTCTGGAGTCGCTGCTTCTCTGGTTAAGATTCCACATTCTGCTTGTGTTCTTCTCCCTTGATGGTCCTAGGGTCCTCTGTTTCTGGACTGTAAGATTAACCACTTCCATTTTTGTTACAAAACTTCTACCTTTACAATTGTGACTGTCGCAATTAGTCATGACGACAATTAATCACTATTGAATCATACTAATCTTATACCCATCTCTTTTTACCAGACCCATCTAGACAAGATGAAAACTATTCAGTGGGGACTCTTTCTCCACCCACCCCCATACTCTTAAAATAAACTCCCTCTTGAAACCTTGTAAGCCAGTCATTTCGTGCCTTTATTGCCCCCTCATTTTAGGTAGCCAATGTCTAAGTTGCCCGTCCCTATCTACCCTGTGTACAGAGGGAGAGCATTGATACTTGATGTGAAGGTTCCTTCCCTCTCTGTTGGTATTTAGAGTTACTATCTCCATGAGTATAGGTCAGATTCATCAAATTGTAGCAATTTACTCTTGTTTCCTTTATCCAAAAAAAAAAAAAAAATTTTTTTTTTCTTTTTCAAATCTTCCCCTAGTCAAGTTGAGTTCTAATTATCAAGCCATCAAGGCTAGGTCAAATGGGTACTGTTTGCAGTTTGGGTATTCTTGTGTATCTTCCCTCACTTCATATCAGCTAGATGCTTCACTCTCAGCTCTAGACCTCTGTGGTTATATCCTTGTCCATTGGCTCAAATGTCCCCAGGTCTCACCACACTTTGAAACAACCAGCCCTTCCTCTTCTCTCTCTCATCTCCAGGTCAACGGGAGGCAATGGACTGCGGTTTCTACATTGCTGCCTTTCCCCTTCTTCCACTTACCAGTTGTCAGCAAGCTTACATGCCTGTTCGTGTGTTCCCTTTGAGTTTCAGTCTTAGAGGGAAGTTTGTCCTGTAGGAATTTGATTGCTAACCCTGATGGCTTCCTAGCGAACAGCTTGCTTATTCTTGCAGGAGCTACTCATGCAGACATTTTTGTTTTGGGTTTTTCCTGATGATCTGTCTTTGAAGATTCATCTTCTGTTGCTCTAGCTGTTCCAGGCTGGTCTGCCTTTCCTTGCTAGTGGGAATATCCCCCCTTAGAAGGTTCTGGATGGGACTCAGGATTCCATCTAAGGTCCTATACTCTGCAAAGGCTTTGTTAAGAGGCTTATTTCACTGGGCAAGTTCTAGAACCCCCTTTAGGTATTCTAAAGAAGCTCTGGTAGTGTAGTAGTTCCGAATCGGGCTGTGAACTGCAAGGTCAGCAGTTCGAAACTACCAGCTGTTTTGCGGGAGAAAGATGAGGCTTTCTGCTCCTGTAAAGATTTACAGCCTAGGAAACCCTGTATAGGGTTGCTATGAGTTGGAACCGACTTCACGGCATGTCACCACCACCACCAATCAGTTATTGGCTGAAGACAGGCTTACAAGTTTTCTGTAAGCATGTTTCCCAACATTCCTTTCTATTCCACTCAAGTGTCTATTTTACAATAGCAGGCAAGGGAAACCAATATTCATAAGACAATCAAGCATTTTAGTATTATTACCCCTCTTCAAACTATGCCTAGATCCCTGTATCACAGAGCCCTGTCGTTCCAAGGTTGAACATGCATCATAATTTACCTCTGTCCCTCTTAGGCCATACAAACCTGCCTCAGTGTTCTTCTGTCTATCTTGTTCTTCCGCCTCCTTCCTCTTCTTGTATTGCCCTCCCCAACACCCGAACTAAACCTCCCACCCCAATCCCACTGTTGTGGTTACCTTATATTCCATTAACTTCCCTGCATTTAAGACAGTTTATTTTATCCTGTAATCTACTTGACCTTCCCACCACATAGATCTCTGTATCTCTTTGTTTACCTTCTTTCACACTATAATTGTTTTGATCATAGACTGACTTCCCAAACCCTCTGTTCTTATAATTTTATTCTGTTCCTGACTCTTCCATTTGTCAGTTGAGTTCAGGATGATGCTGCCATGTACGGCATTCTCTAGTTGTTGTCTATTCTTATTGGTTCTCAGTCCACAGAACTTTCTTTAGGATGTTTTTCATAGCAGTGTTAGCTTTGGCAAAATCCCTTAGCTTCTGTTTATCCTGGAATGTTTTGTTTACACCATCCGAATTTGATTGACAGCTTTGCTGAGTAGAGGATTCTTGGCTGGAAGCTTTTTTCTTTCAGGGTTTTATATATGTCTCCCCACCGTCTTCTTGCCTGCATGGTTTCTATTGAGAGATCCGAGTTTAATCTGATTTGCTTGCCTTTATATGTTACAGTTCTCTTTTCACTAGCTAATTTCAGGATTCTGTCCTTATCTTTGATTTATGGAAAGCTTGATTATTATACGCCTTGGTGATTTTCTTTTAGGATCTATCCTTCTTGGGGTTTGTTGAGCTTCTTAAATGCTTGTTTGTTCACTTTTCAGGATGTTGGGGAAATTTTCTTCCTGAAGCTCTTCAACTATCTCCTCTGTGGACTTGTGTGATTCTTCCTGTTCTGGAATGCTGCTAACTCTTAAGTTATTCCTTTTCATGTTGTCCAACATGAATCTTAGGCCTT